TTTTAATTTTGAACCAAGAGCAATTCATAATTTGTTTCAATCTTTTAAGGTTGTACCCTCCCAATAATAGTTTAGCTTCGTTTCACTTTCAATCATTTCTTCCTTATGGTATGTGGTTACAATGCGAAGAAAAACCGTAATACTGGCGGTAACTCGTATTATAGAAGGTTCCACAATTTAAGTGGACGCTATGTCATTCCAATCATCCATTGAGCTAATAAGTATTATGTAATTCAGAGCCTAGTTAGTGAGTTTTAGCTTATCTCTTTGCTAATTAATTAATACGCATATTACTGGTTAAGAATTATAAACGCGTGCTGGAATATTAATACTATGAAAAATTTAGCTTATGATTATAGAAGGCAATTTTTTTGTTAAAAAGTTAGCATTAACCCTTGTAGGTTCGGGTAAAGCTTAACTATATATTTGCTTGCTTTAATATTTTTTACTTTTAAAGAGTTATTTTTAACCCTTAGAGCTACAAAAAAATATAGCCATATGCTAAGTTAAACAATTTTTGCTTTTTAAAACTTGGTCTAGAGCTAATATTAGTATGGCTATGTTTTTCTGTAGCTCCAAGGGTTAATACTAACTTTTTAAAAATAAAAAAATATTAAAATTAACATATAGCTAAATATTTCTAATACTAATATTAGCGCTAGACTAACCGTTAAACTAAGTTAAAAAAAATTATTCTAGAAACGTTAGTATTATATCCTTGTACTTTCAGAAAAACTTATCTCGTTGCCAAATTAAAGTATTGTATTTTAACTGTAAAAAAATTAGCATTAACCCGTTTAGGTTCAGAAAAACCTCAAACTCATAGCTAAAAAGATATCTTTTTCCGTAACAAAATTACCCTTCTGTACTTTCGGAATCTTGTGCTACATGCTAATAACAACAATCTTTACAACTAATAAGTTAGCATTAACCTTCTATACTTTTGAAAAAAATTAGCTGGTGGCTCTTTTCAGCAATTTGTACTATTAAAAAGTTAGTGTTAACCCTTGTAGCGCCGTAAAAACGTAGCTAAATGCTAACTCAAACGATTTTAACTGCAAACAAGTTAGTTCTGAGCATTCTAGGGCCCGAATCCTGAGCGATATGCTAATTGCAACAGTTTTTGCTGTGCATATGTTAGCATTAACCCATTATTGAAGCTACAATACTTGTCTACCAAGAAGCAGAAAATATTAAAGCTGCGCCTAATCGCTAAAACTAACTGTTTTTCAAATATATAACTCCTTCAAATTCTTAAGATTAGTTCGAGAGCGCTTTCCTAACCTGTAATGAGCAACCTAAACACAATTTTCCACGTTAATAATTGAAAAAATTAAGCGTGAAGCCGATTTTTGCACGCTTAAATAGCTGGGTGTAACAAATAGCGCGAAACCTTTGCTTGAACTTTAATGCATACTATTTTAGCCCATTAGCACTGCCCCAAATAATCGTATATTATACGCATAAAAGCGTGAAGTAGGCAATAACTTTACACGTTAATTGAATATTAACCGTGTAAATACGTGTATGCGAGACATGTATGTATATAATGTAATAAAAGTGGCAGGAGCAAACATATACATACATATGCAACGAAGTATCTGTCATATCTGTCAACTGAGCACCTACTGGGTTGTATTGCTGGCGACATAACATAGATATATACATATAGTAGCAATCTGCCCACTATAATAATTTCCCTGTTGAAAGAAATTTGCTATGCTGGCGCTAAAACGCTCATATACAACTCTTTTTAATAAAATAAAAGCATATGTACGTGTGTATGTATGTAACATTTCACGGCGCATTGTAAAAGTTTACGAAAGTAACAAATTGTACGCGTATGTGATGGGTTAATAAATATTTAAACACATACTCCAACTTCTGTGCAGTATATGTGTGCCTGCGAAAAAAAAGTTGCCAACGCCAAACATCCAACCACATTAGTGCGTGTCGTATACACGAAAGTGTCTAGAGGAAGTGGCAATGGTAATGGCGTCAATGTGTTGCATATGTGCTTGTGAGTTTATGCTTTTGCTTAACTGCTACACTTTACCATTTTTTACGGTCAGCAATATAGACTCAGTACGGGTGTGCAGGTGTAAACACGTAGTCATAACTAATGCCATGTACACACTGGCTTAACTTTGAAGGGTTCTGGTGAAGTTTGGACTACAGCGAAGACTACTGGGAGAAAAACCACTTTTTCTAGAATTTTTACATTTCTTTGGCGCCTACAACTTCCACGGGCAAAGCTTTTTCGTTATCTAGAATAGAAAAGCTTTTAAGCAGAAATCTCGCAGACACTCGGAACAACATTTTTGAAGACTAGCAAAAAGTCTAATTATCGTGTGGTCTCGCAGATTTTTTTTTAAATAAAGTAGCGCTAAAAATGGCTCCCAAATAAATTATTTAAGTCAAACACTTTCAATATCGGTTAGATACTTAAAATGTGTGGCTATGATAGAAACAGGTGACTTAAAACTAGCAAACATTTTTGCGTTTAACTTGAGTTTTCTAAAAAATTTACTTTCTACATAACCAAATTTTTTTTTTAATAATGAGTTGATTTTTCCTACAGGGTAGTTATATAATACGTAGACCCATAACAATTACAAGCGTATATACGACCAGTAAACTAATGAATTTTAAAACAATTTAAAACGCAATAACATACATATTACATATGTACATATACTTAAGGGTTGAATTCGCTATGGCGTTGGCACTAAAAGAATTTTCATTTCAATTTCAAAGCCTATCAAGAAAGCTATTTACGTAGTTGGTAGGGTAATGTATGCTATGGAGGAAACATTTGGAAAGTTAGAAAGTGAATGTGCACTATTACACACATACATACAGGTATATATAACATACCTACATACATATATTTATGTGTATATGTAAAGTTACCGTTATATGCTAACGAATTTTCACTAATGCGACAATGAGCTTTTGGTGCAACGGCGTGTTTTGTACATATGCGTGTATGTATATATGCATAAATATATGTACATATATTTTGATGTGAATATACTCAAGTAACCCCTTTTTAAACTGTTACGCGCTCTCTTTAAATGGCCCCACAGCAGGTTTGTGCGGTCCTTTACACGTTTGTTTGGGCTTTTTGTGTCGCAACACTTTTCATAATTTATACTATTAGCATGAAATAAGTTTAAAAATAGTGTTCCAATATTATAAATAAATATCTCAGTAAATTTCACATATATTTTTGCATTTCAAGTAGCCGAAAGGTGTAGTGACCTGTTCTTGGGAACACGCAATTGGTAGCGCTTCACCGCTCTCTCTTTAAATTTAGTATTAATATTGGAAAAAAGTTTTATGGATTTCAATGCTGATAGCGTGAAGAAAAAATTTCAAAAATGGGGGAAAAAATATCATAAAGAATACTCGCATATGAGAAAACTTTCCTTGCATTCTGAAAGTCTTCCACAGGCTTTACATTTTGAGTTACTTAATCTGTTCTAAGTTTCGTGTTTTTTTTTCTTCCTTTTAAAGAAAGTCCTAGGCTACCTAAAATTTTAAACTTTTCAGAAACAGTTGTAGTCTCCGATTTAGTATTTCTCTGCGCGCTATGCTTGAGCGCTGCTCTCTTTCCAAAAAAAAAACATGTTATAATAAAGCGACAAGCGAAAGTTATCCAGTCAAATTCAAAATCAACTATGCGTTATGTATATCAGTTGTTGTGCTATTCGCCATTCTACAAGATTGCGCGAATCGAAAAAAACTATTTTACAAAATATTAAAAATGTTAACTCAACTCTCTTCTTAATTCTTGGACATAAGAAAAAAAATTGGGAATAAGAGTTTTAGAAATATATAGGTGCATTTAGCTATAAAGAGATAACTCTTAGGTAAAAAAAAATTATGTTAAAGAAGGCGTTAAGTATGCTATGTTTTCACCCTAACCTCAGAAAATCTCAAAAGAAGAAGAAAAAATATACGAACTCATGAACCACTGCACTCTTGATGCAAGAGGCGTTTAATATATTATATGTATATATATATATATATATTTAAAACCTCTATCCAATAATATCTAAGCGCTAAGGCACAATTCAGACTCACATCCTTAGTCAGAAACTATATGAGTCGTCTTCTATATCATCAAAAGCGGTTATAATGAATATATAATATTCATTCTTCGCCAATTTTTAGCAAATTATTCATAATTCTATTTTATACCTTTATGCTCACATTATTCTTTGAGCTTAAGATTTTCTTTGCACTGAAATTTGATAGTTTTCAAATATATTTCAAATTACTGTGTACTAATAATACCATTAATGCTATAATGGCACAATTATTGGACATTGAGCCGTTGTAATTGCTAGGGGAAAGCCACAAAGCAGTTTCTCAAATATTTTTTCGCTATTAATTTAATTGTAGTGTATTTTCCGACAATTTTACCCCAAATTCCAGCAGTTGAAAAGAAAAAGTAACAAAGAGCAACTAATAATGCAAGCAGCTAAATGACTAATGGAAAATTGTGAAGGAAATTATAAGTGTAATAAGCCAAAAGAAGTGATGAAAAGTTGGAGAAAGGTTGTCAATTTATTAGATACGTGGGTAAGCCGGTATTTAGGTAGGTAGTGGTAGGTTGCTTATGCTATTTTTGTTGTTCTTCGCTTATAAATTTTATTTTTTCGATTTTTTTTTTTAATTTTATGCGTATATACATATAAATATGTATGTACATTTTGTTGTTTTTACAATTTTTTTAAATTCTAATTTGGAATTTTATATTTTTGTATTTTTTTAAATTTAATTTAATTAAAAGTTTTTTTTTGTTTTTTGTATGTCAGTCTTTTATTTATTTTTTTTAAGCTTTGTAGAGTATTTTCGTTTTTTCTACTTTTTATATTTTGTGGCAGCAGCATTAAGTGTGCGCCGCAATTATGTTACTTGGCAACTTTTTAATTAAAAAACTACAAGTTCAACAATAGCGTGTTTAAATAAACAAAATTGTTAGTTGGAAAAGAAATATTTCTTTCTGCTTACTTTTACATATTTATTTTTTATTAACAAGGAAATAAACACTACAAAGTAATTAAGTAGAAAACTACAAGTGTGTATTTACTGCTATAAGCGACAGTCGGTCTAGTTCATTGCACAAACAATGCTACATATGTAAGTATGTGTGTTTACACGCGTGTGTGTGTACGCAAGTTGACAAGTGGCACTTTCTCAACACCTAAACAACACTTGTTGGCATTGCTGACCACTAAGCAATAAGCATGCAGCTGGTACTGTTATTTTCGTGTCGTTGTGTAGTTCGTTGTTTAGCGTTTGACAGCCGACGAATAGCAGCGCTGATCATGCTTGATGTTCTTATTGGCTAGCCGACTGCTGTGTGTTTCTATAAATAACGGCAGTGCAGCGGAAATGCATTAAAACGACTGGCGCACACAGTCGCCGCGTTCTAGGGAATGCGATGAAAATGTGAGAGCTGGTTACATGCTAGACAAGTAGCACTGAGCTTAGATTTCATTTAAAAACGAAAAAAAATTATTAAAAAAATTTTAAATATCAAAAAATTATAATTTTAAATATAAAAAAACTTAAAAAAAGAATATAATATAAAACAACAAATTATAGTCAAAAACTGTTAAAATTAAAAAAAATATAAAAAATTAAAAAAAAATTAAAAAATTTAAGAATATAAAATTAAACAGTAATAAAAATTCAATGAAAAAAAATTAAAATTATACAAAATACAAATAAAAAGTTGAAAAATTAAAAAATAAATTTTTTATATAAAAGGTAAAAGAAATAAAAATACATAACTAAAATAAAAACTAAAAACAATTGATAAATGTAAAATTATGTACAAATAAAAAAATTAAAATTTAAAAGTTAAAAAGAAAAAATACACAAATAAAATAAAAACCAAAAAGAATTTAAAAATGTTAAAATAAAAACTAAAAAAAAATGAAAAATAAAAATATATACAAATATAAAAAATTTACAAAAAATAAATAAAAAGTACGCTTCACACAAACTGCATTCTTGGAAGTGCGCACACTCTCAAGTCCAAAGCAAATAAGGTAGCGCCTAGCATGTGTAGTTGCAGTGTGCAGTAAAATATAGAATATGTCTAGTGATGAGCTGCTGACAGCTAACTAAGTATTTGCAGGCGCTGTGCCGAAGTGGCTTATAACCTCAAAGCAAATAAAGACAGTGTTGCATTTGAGAACTACTTGGCAGCCAAGGTAACATATGGTAATTTTCATAATTCTTCATAATTCGACTATCAACTTACAGACACTCAGCTAGTATTTACCATTGGTATATGCAGTCATATGCACTTATGACCAACTAGGCAAAGTTTATTGTTGTTGCTATTATTGCTGCTGCGCGCATACGCCATTCCTCACTTCTATGCACACAATTGCATATAAACATTTTATATATACACACATACATACATATGTATATACATGCATACATACAAATATACATATTTACACATGCAACTCCTGTCTGTCTGGGCCACTTCAACACTTCAAAAACTCATCATCACTCGCGCTCTTTTTTTTTGCCGTTTGTTTATTTAGTGAGTATTAAATTTTCATTTAGTTTAGAAAATTTTAACAAGATTCTATTTCCAGGAAGCGTGGCCCATGCCTTGGCATCCTACTTGTAATTGTATTTCTTTGTGTAGTTTTGGTTTTCAATTAACTGACCTTACAACTACAGCTGTTGTTGTTGTTGTTATGTCGGCGAAAAGCAAAAAAAAAAAAACAAAAAAAAATACAAATTATAAAATATAAAAGTGAAGTGTTATCAAAACACAGTAGCTACAAATTGTGGGAAGGTTTTAAAACTACTTTGAGAACACTTCGAAGTTCCACGAAACAGCTGTTGGCATTGCGGAGGCAAAACATTTGTTTCGAGTGAAGAGTTGGAAGCTAGTGACGCTCTGGTGTTAAGATGAGATGTTATAGAAAGATAGTTGACATTCTTTTACAGGTCTTGAGAGACTCATATTCTTGTAGAAAGTAACTTTTTGGCCAAAATCACGTTATGTTCTTCACTGTATGCGATAGCATTCTCTTTAATTACATTCAGAGAAGACTTATTAAGTTCTATCAGAACTTCCGCAACCTAAAAGTTCTCTAGCTTAACAATACTGTTGACCTCAAGTAGTGCATATTTCCGAAATGAGTTGTTGCGTCGTTAATAGTCGAGTCGAATATTCTTTAGGACCCTATACGAGTATAACTCTTTCTCGACTAATTTAGCCTATTGTAAAGATTTATTGAGGAAAAATTTTCGCAACTTAAAACAACTCTATCCCCTTGCAGTAATGTCAACCTAGAAGTCGGTTCTTAAGAAACTCATATTCTTAAAATAAGTTCTTGGTTTCGCCAAAAGCCAAAAGCCTTTGGAAGACCCGTTATAATTTTAATAGTGTACATTTATTGACGAAGCATCTCCGCAATATAAAGTCTCTACATCCCTACAAGGTTTTCGATCTAGATGTTGGATCTCAAAATACTCGAATACTTTAAATAGTCACCAAGTCAAATTATTGCTTTAATGGACGCTATAGAAACCACTGTCGGGCAAATTCGCTTGAAAAGGAAGATCAATTGAGGACTACCTGTCTGAATTGTCATCTCAAGCGATGTAAAGCTTCTCTATCCCTCGAAATTGACGACTTAGATGACGGATCTAAAGCGATGAAGTTTGAAACAGCCTCGTCAGTCTCTTTCAGCAGTAATCGGCGCACCTCTTTCAATTCATGCGAAAGGGCGTCTTTAGATTTGAAGTCGCTTATGATATTAGGTCGCAGTCATGCGAAATTGTGACGCCTGACCGAAATAAACCTTTTTGTATTATTTTTTATTATAATGAAGTTACATATCTCAGTTTTTATGTGGCTTCTAACCTGAAATAAACTTTTTGATTCCAATTAGAATTTTTAAGACTTCGACTTAAGAGCTCTATAGTCAATCACAGTCCGAATTCAGTCGAATAGCTCATATTCGTATCCCGAAGAACTCTTTCAGTAGAAATCTTTCATCGTTTTGTTTCTCTTTCTTTTCTCTTTGAATTTCGGAAAAACGACGACTTTAGCTTAAAAGTCGCAATCGTACAATATAAGGAACTGACATCGGACAGCTCGAATAAGACTTTTTCGAGTTTTGCCTAAGAATATTTCATGCTCTTAAATTCATTTTCTTCTCTATTTTCAGCTACTAATTTCCTTATTAAATATACATATTAGAGTTTAGTTAGAAGTTGTTACTTCGAATCAAAAGCTTTAGCTCACTTTTACTGAACTCAGCAGACGAATTCTGCGATGTGGTCATGAACGAGCTGAAGAGCTTTACTTTTAAGTGGTTGGATTTATTGCACGTTTTTGTATACAACTTTTTTTGTTTTCCCAATATCTAGTAAAAAGCCTTAAAGTCACCTTTAGCGCCAACGCCACTTATAAATAAACGCAGCATTTAAAAAAAATTATTTCCTGCAAATTAAAATACACATTCACTTTTAATTTCCATTTAAATCAAACAATCTTCTACCTTTCCCTCATAACCACACTTTCTCTCTGACTTCTTTTGCACACCGACTCTTTCTTACTGTCTCTGGGGACAATGTGCGACACAAAACAATTCCAACTTCTTAAATTGCAGCAGCTTTAACAATCAACAACAACAAAAGCAATATATAATCAAATTAAAAGCGAGCACAATGTTACAGCAAAGCATAGGAAGAAGGATATCCGGACGCTCTAGTAGCTACGTACTCGTGTATATATACAAGTATGAGTATGTAAGTGTGTTTGCATGTAAAGGAGATATACGTTTGTATAACTGCTGTAATTGCATCGCAGCACTCCTACAAACGCAGCAAAGCGGCGCAAGAAATCCGCAAGGATATGCCGCAAAAAGTGAAGGAAAATTGTGAAAATTACTTGCGACCGAAAATAAAGGTGAACCACAAGCAAAACGTAGTGGTAGTGTCTTGGCGAGCACACCCACACAAACATACACTTACATACTTATATTTCTTCTCACAAATAGTGTATTCAATAATGCTGGTGAATTTTCAGGTGCCAGCTTGCTGTTGTTATTGTTTTCGTTATTAGGAAAGGAAAATCGCACTTGAAAAGGGCGTTTCCACATTGAGTGTCGTCCATGTGTGTTAGCTGTATATGTAACTCTGCGAAATGAGGTGTGAAAAAGGTGGCAAACAGTAGGCGTTTGCCGTCGCTGATTGTAATGTAAATATACGCCACTTAATTTTTGTAATTTTACACATTTCTTTCTCTAATTGCAGCAATAATAGCCTGCGTATATATCTTAAGTAGGTGCGTGTATGTGTAAAGGAAATGGGGACTTGCCAATTGTTGTGGTTTGTAGGTGAAGTATCAGCTGCCTGGCTTGCAAATGAGGTGTGAAAATCGTACAAAATATATAAAGATTTGAAATGAAAAGAAAAAAGTCGGCTGAAGAAAATTATTGAGGCACTCAAAATTTATTTGCTGAGTGCGACGACATTCGTGTGTCGGAAGAGAATTAATTGTTTACAGTTAGTTCGATCAAAATTATTGCTACCTACTTCTTAAGAGGCTCTCAGCACGTTCTTATATTTATAACGGTCTTATGAGAACTGTTTATAAGCGGATAAGAGCAGTTTGTCAAAATGTTCGTGAAACTTAATTAACAGCTTTTAAATATTCAAGTCTAAAGAGCATCAAATGAATACTCACATGACAAGTCTTGCAAATAGATTCCATAATGCATTAAAAGAGCGTAAAAAGATGTCACAAAGAGAAAATGAAAATACAACGGTTAGATTAGGTTATGCTGGCTGGTTGTTATGCCACTCATGCACTTGTTAGTTCTTAATAATGTCAGATGGAGTTTCAGTTTAATTCGAGTTGAAGTATTCGTCATATTGGACGTCAACGCTTTTTGCGAAGTTTAAAAAATACTTGATATCTAATTTTCTACTTGAACTGCGTAGCTTCTAAATAAGACGAGTTCTAGATAAGATCGGACGTAGGAGTACAGAGAGAAACTTTAACCGTTGGGAGTTAATATTAAGCTACAATTTTTCCGTCTCTTGGAAGAAGGAATATCTCTTCTATATCTATAAAAATTTAAACTGAGGATGGAAAAAAGCTTCTATTCTAAGTGCACTAGTGTTAGTATAAGACTTAAATAAAAAACTTATATATAGTGTAGCAGCACATAGAGAGCAGACACGCTCAATTAACTTCAGACCACTCAGAGAGAAAACCCGACTATCAAACTATTTAGTTGATTTTAAATTTATCTAATTAAAATTTTTAAAATTATTTATGAGTTTATTTAAGAGTCTGGTACAACAAAATAATGCATATTTAAATTGTAATGGAGCCACAGACACGACTAAAAACTCTTTCAAATAAGTCTCTAATAGATACGTTAGATGGAGCGATAAAGAGAGCATTTGGTTTCTTTTTCACACTCTAACATAGCTTATTTGTATGTATATTCAGTTAAGATATGACAGATTCCAAATTTTTGACATAAGATCGCCCAGAATTTCTCAGAAAACCAAGAAAGCAAACTTAGAAAACGTGAAGTTAATTAAATATTAAAAAATTGAAAAATCGAGATGATTTTTAGGTTGAAAAAATATTGAGTAAATATCGCGAATTTTTAGCACTCTTTTGCAAGTCATTTTGTCCAGTCCAAAAAATTATGAAGCACATTGTGAAAGCTTTTTGTAGAGCTTTTATGTCTTTAAAAGCTCTATAAAAGCTTAAAACAATTGTTAAACTTCAAAGAAATCATATTTACCTCAAAATCGCTCACATCATATAATATTTTAAATCTTAGATCTTTAACTTATTAAGAACGGGGTAAACAATTTTTACAGAGCTTTCGCAACTTTTTGAGCGCTAAGCTCGATGTTTAAGCTCGAAGTTTACCAAGAATATATGAAAGACGGGTTAAACACTGTTGACAGAGCTTTCAGAACCAAGAACTTATACAGAACGGGTAAAAGCTTTGTACAAAGCTTTCGGAACCTTAAAAGTCCTAAGTCCAAAGAAGGACGCAGTAGCAGTTCTATATCGAGCTTTCGAAACTTTGTAAGAGCGATGTAAGCTTACTAAGAACTTATAAAGAACGGAGTAAAAACTTTTTATATAGCGTTTGGAACATTGTAAGCCTGGTGAAAGCTTATACGATGGTGCACCTTGTATTATAATCTCATGACATGCTAAGTAAAGTTCAGTACAGTTCAAAGATACTGCTCTCAAGTTATAAAATTTATTCAAATCTAAAAATCCTGAATTTAATTATATTAAGTAAAAAGCAAAAAGTTTTCAACCACTTTAGTAGTTGTAAAAATTAAACTTTTGAGCAACATTTAATTTCTCAACACAGAAAAATAGAAAAAGTTTCCATTTGTACTGCCAATTTGTCGCGCCACAAGTGCAAAATGCTAGCCATGAGAAATACTTGCATTTGAGTGGTCATTGAGTGTACCTCCAGCCCAAATGGTGGACAGCCACAGGAGCAATGTCAGCAAACAGCGAAGAAATGCCACAAGCTATTCTCAAAACAACTACAACAAATAGCTTATATTAACACCACTGCTACTTAACAACATTGTGCACCCTGCAACAACATTAACCGCTACTTTTGCCACTATTATCCTCTATTTTGCCAGCAGTTTTTTAAGCCACTATCTATCAACCGCCGTTGAAGTGCGCATCATGAGTTGCGGCATTCACACCTTTGCTTTGCGTTTGCTGAGGCAAAAAGGTACAAGAAAACAACAAGCGTGTCCTTTTTACAGTGTAATTTGTTGTTATCTGGCGTGTTGTTGTTGGCATGCGCTTGCATTATCCTCTTCTAACTGTTTATACAACAATTTGCTTGTGTTCAAGTGTCGGCTGCTACCGTACTGAAGAGCACAACGTAGCCTGCTAATGGTCACGCTTGAGTGTTGGGAAAGTTGTATACTTTTCAGACCTTCTTTTTTAAGCAGAATTGCCGTCTACTTTCTTTGCCTGACTTTCCTTTATACCGTTAGAAAAGTCAATATTATTATAGCACAATTTGTTGCTGACATATGTTGCAAATACTTAAGCGCAACTAACCCCTATTAGTGGCATATTATAATGCCTAGTTCACACTTCAGTTGTAATGGCGCAAACGAAGGTGTGTCGGCGTGTGTTTATATATATATAGTATGGCAGTGACTGTCTTTTTTAATATAGTTTGGGTTTGTATTTATTTTCACATATTTTTTTTCGTTTGTTGCTGTTGTTTTTCATAGTGAATTTTTTTTTATGTGAAATTCGTTAAATTGACCAATTGACTCGTTGCGCGTTGGTGTCAAATCGTAAATATTGATTGTTGTAAAGTGTCATCATTTGCTTTTTACTATCGTGTGAGCAGCCGAAGCACATCATTAGTTCAAGTTTATGGTCTTACGGCAATTATGTTTAAATAGTTTGCCATTTAAAGTGAAGAGTGTAACTTTTTTGTGAAACCCGGGAAAGCTGTTGTGCATTTTCTTCAATAATATTGATAATATAATTTATTAAGGCAAAGGGATAATATAAAAAAAAATGTAAAAAAATATAAATACTTTAAGAGCTAGATAGTAAAATAGTTGTTCAGAAATTTCGTTTTTTATATGTTTCTCGAGCAAATATTACCTCCTTGTATATACATATCTACCTCGCAATTTGAGAACTTTCAGTGGCTTAATACGCTCTAACAGCAACTTTTTTCCGCTATAATCATCAAACTAATCCGAAATCATAAATCAAGCATAAGACATATACTTAGATTACCTCAAACCTTAGTACCCTTCATAGTTCTACTTGGTCTTAATGGTCTTCTCTTTATAACTGGAACTACTCTTAATGTTTATTATTTCAATAAAAGGTCCATATTTAATCATAATATAAAGAAAAACTCTTCATCCTTAAGCGTTATGAACTTGCATGAAGCTTTTGGTGAAAGCTTTCTGCGGTGATTGTTAATTGTATACTTTTGGGTGTGCTAAAAAAGAGTTAGAGAGAAAGATAGTTAAAAAAAAAAGGATTGTGGCTGTTTTATGTTTGTCCACTGTTTGTTTGTCTAATAAAAAATAAATATTCTTCTCTATACGTTAGACTCTTTTCTAAAGTTTTTATGGCCTATGATCTTAAAGGGACGAAGAAGTAAACCAAATATTGCTTTCACTGGGATTTTCGAGCCTCGAGCTTTGCAAAAACTTTTACTTTTGTACAATCACTGGAATTAAAAGCTCTGCAGCACTTTCCAGCTTTTGTAGCTCAAAAAGAAATAGGAGCTTAGAAGTGAACAGAAATACTGCCTCCTCTAAGCAAACAATAGCTTACAAGTCTTGCAAAAGCTTTCACTTTTGTACAATCACAAAAAAACGAAAGCTCTGGAGAACCTGACAGCTTTTATATCACAAATATCTAACTCTTATAGTATTTGAGTAATTTCTGAGTGTCAGTCTTCTGTATAAAAGATTTAAAAGCTTAGAAGCTGGCGAAATATTGCCACACCTAAGCAAAAGACGACTTGCAAGTCTTGCAGAAGCTTTCACATTTGAACAACCTTTTACGGTGAAAGCTCTGGAGCACCTGCCAGCTTTTGTAGCCAAATGATCATGTTCTTTCAGTTTTTAAGTAATTTCCGTGAGTCATACTTTTATAAGAACAGCTTTAGGAGCTTAATAGTAAACCGAAATATCGCCTCGGCTAAGTAAATAGCGGCTTGCAAGGCTTACACTTCTATATAACCACAAGAAAATGAAAAACTCTGTAGCAACTGAGAGGTTTTGGAGCTCAATTATCTTACTCTTTCAGTATTTGTGTAATTTCTGTGAGTAATTTTTTTGTACAAGCCACTTTACCTCTCCCTCTAATTCACTACAGAGGTCGTTGTACTCACAATTTACTCATTAGCTTGAATCAGCAGCGCATGAACCGCCATATTTGGCACCAAATGGTTGATATTTTAAGTTTACATTTCTTTCATGTTTCTTTTTCATAACACGTTACTCATTCACGCAACGTTAAGGCACCTCCCCTCAGCCTCAAACCAGTAGCGCCTTCGCTTCAACGCCAGTCATGAGCTAACAAATTCCTCTGCGCATACATATGTATATATATATATATGTGTGTGTGTGTGTTTCCCCTCATATGCTTATTTCACATATGAATTCACACATTACCATTTCACACCTTTCTGAGCAGCGGCGCTGCAGAGTGCCTGGCATTACAACTGCTGCGGAAAGCTTACTCCTAGCTTAAGTTAGCGAAAAAAAAGTCAGGTAATTTGGGTAACAGGGAGAAATTGAGATATTAGTTGACGCAACCTGGTAGTTAATTTTAGCGCAAACGGCAGGCAGGTGAAAATAAAATTCAACAAATCCCTGAAAGCATAAATATTCGATAGAAAAAAACTGTAAAAATTATACATGCGCGTATATTTAGCAGATCCAGCGAAAATAGCTGATTAACTTACCCTTTAGGGGCCAGCTCGGTCGCCGCTAAGGCGGCTCTTTGCCTTTGGCACCTAACCGCGCTTGCAGAACCCACTTGGCTTCTATTAGTTGCTTAGCTGTTGAGTTTGTGCGCAGGTGCGTGTGTGTGTGTGTGCCATGTCACATCGATATATTAATTTGCTTAATTAGCGGCAAACTGACGCATGTCAGCGTGTTGGAATGGATTAATAAGCAGTGTGCTAGTTGAAATGACAGTCAACCAACAGACTGACAGTCTGCAGACAAATTATGGTTGGCGGCGTGTTGGGTACTTATCCTACATACATATTAGTCACAGCTTGTTAGCAATACTTTTTTTTATTTATCTGCTCGTTGTCTTTAGTTTACTCAACGGTATTTTTTAATTAGCAAATACCTGGTTGGTGGCAACTCTGCCAGGTGCTTGTGCTCATTAAAATAATTAGTTGATGAAAGTGAAGTTTTTTCACCAGCACTTTACTGGTACTTTCAGAAATATAGACTTTTCTTTATTATAAAGATAACGCTCAACATAGACTCAATATAAGTTCAGTTCTTTTCAAACTCGTGAGCTCTTCTAAGCTCTAGCTTTCGTGGGCGCTTTAAGGCGTCATAAACAAATCCACGGATCAATAATAGATCTTGAATAGTCGAACTCCAGCTTCCTTTCGTTACTTGAACTTGCAATCCGAAAATTGAAACCCACTTAAGTAGCTCAGACAACTAGCTCATTTATTCTTCTCGTTGTCATGTCATTGCTATATGGTACTACAACAAAACTTTTTGAACTGGAAGTCCTTCTATACGCTAAAACCCCTATAACTTAAGTCTGCGGAGTCGTCAATCGCGACATTGGATAGCATTTGACTCAAAGTAGTTGAAAATCGGCAAAATGAATTTTTAAAGACTACAATAATCAGCGACCTTAATATGTGAGAAACCGTCCATAAAATTTGGGTACGAAAGCTCTGAACACTCTAAGTATAAAATCACGAGTATTAATTTAATCCGACTCGAGTCATTTGGAATCATTGTTGTGAAAGCTGGTGCTAATAATTGGGATTACTGATCTTCGCATGCCGCTTGGATCTTCTGTAGTCATTGTTGTTAAAGCTTTTTTTCTGGTAACTTAAGAATGTGACACAGATGATCTGAAGTCGTTGTTGTGGAATCTGGTGCTACTCTTTTTGACTACAGATTTCAAGGTGTGGATCGGATCGGATCATCTGGTATCATTGCTGTGGAAGCTGACGCTACTCTCTTTAACTACTGATTTCAGAAACGACAGTGAAAGTGGGAGACTTTGTAGTATAAGATTATTTGCGCTCAAGCTCGACGAAATTATGCTCGCAGACTGGTTAACTAGTAGACTGACAGCTATAAGTTGAACTTTAATGGGAAATGAATAACAAAATGATTTGGCTCTGAAATTAAGAACTTTTTTTAAAACGGCGTTCAACAAAAACGGACTGTAATGCCTCCAAGATTTCTATTTGTGTACAATAAATTAAGATCCTTAAAATATTAATAACATTTCCATTCTAAAACTTAGCAGTATTTATAAAGCCTCTGAGGATTTGCTTAAGAAATAGTATGAATTTGAGTCGGTTCTTATAATCGACATACCTCTATGGGTTCTACCACGGGGTTTGTGAAATTAGAAGTTAGTAATTTTATCTATGACATGTTGCTGCAAAAATTGGGTGACTTCAGGTTTAAGCTTTACCCTTTTAACTAGTATTTTATAACAGACATACTCGGACGTCTGCATATACCTAAAGCTTGGAATTGTTTTCTTACATCATTTAACATGCTCTGAGCTACCGCGTCTCACCTGACATAACGCAAAATTTTTTAGCATTAAAAAGTAGTCTAATTTCTATCTTAAAAGCCGGTATCATAATTTACCAGATTCATATATACTTTTATTTTGCTCCTTGCCCCCTCAACGCAAGCAAATAGTTTCTGGCAAATAATATTATATTGTATTTATTCATAAATTTACGACAAGCACTCATCCAAGCAATTTCACGCCTACTAAATGCATCATATGAGGCTTATTAGCGGCGCTGCTCAAGCCAAGCCAAGCCGCGCCAAGTCACGCCGGCGTCATTATCACTTGGCTGCGTATGTCGCAACACCCACATGCAGTCGCATACATAACTAGATATACATATAATGATGTATTCATGTCTGGTTATGTAGCCGTGCGCATTTTCGCTAGCCAACAAGTCGGCGAGACAGCCGAGCCACCTACTATTGCGCCTTTTGCACTGCAACTCATATTCATAAGCTCTCCGAAGAGTATTCATAGGCTGCCTTTGTGCTTTGTAACTAAAATTCCATGACAACAACAGACATTGTTGCTTTACCAACTTTTTGTTTTTGTTTCTTGTGCTCATTTGCCTATGCGTGTTGTTGTTGCCTTTGTGCTACTTTTTTGTTTTTGCACTGCACTTTCGCTATTGTTTCTGTTGTTGTGGTTTTCTCTAAGTTAGCCTACTTCAGTGTCTTCAAAACGCAACAACAACAACGACACAACAACAACAATGAGCTCAAAGGCGAATTCACTACTTACACATACACATATATATATGCAGACATTTTGATGCCAGAGACATTGAGGCTCGTTCAAGTGCACCCAATGGATCTTACGTGTGACTAACACAATAACAATGTTATACAAGTATATGAGTGCAACAAAAACAAAAAGCCAGAAAAAGTGTAAAAAAAGCACGATTGTGCAAAAAAGTTGCAAAAATAACGCAATGCTCAGATTAAAATGCCAAAGACTTTGCTGCATGCCTGTTGGCTCTACAACGGCTCTGCGTCGCCAACGCTTCTCCCGCAGTGTCTTTTAAGATTTCTAATTAGCTGCGTTTGCACTTATGGTCATGTCTGCTCTCTCCGCCGCTCCCCCTATATTTCACTACAGTTTATCAGCTCGACATTGTTGCGATTTTGCACTTGCAAGTGGTCTGAGGGTGGGGACGGTAGTGGGGTTATCACTTTTAAATTAGGATTCTTAAGCAATGTCACTGTAGAGCTAATAGAGAGCGACAGTGGGCCACTATTGCTAATTTTTCTAATATTTTTTGCTGCCAAGTTGCGTGTATCAAGGAATCTCTAGGTTTCATTGCATCAGTTTTATGTGCATACCGTCTTAAAGGACCGAAACGTCTTTCAGAACTCTTTTTTTATTAATAACAACAAGTACCGCTGTATCCGGACTAAAATCTTTTTGGTATTAGTCTACTCGGAGTATCAGATGCAGAACAACCTGAGATTATGTTACCCTTATGGGTTCCTCGGACACTCTTGAAGCTCTGCACCGCCAGTTTTGTTTAGGTATCCAGATTTAAGTAGCTTGATTCGCGTTTTCTTGCTATAGCTTAGTGGGAAACCTTACATTTTCATTTTTTAGGTAGCAAGTATCAATTTGTTCGAACTAAAGAATTCCTCGTATTATTCTCATTGCTGTATCGGATTCTGGTCGTATTGTTAATCTGTATTAGCCTTATTGAGATTTCCTATCTAAAATCAGCTAGAGATCTAAAAAATACTTCGATTCCCGAGCTTAAAAATCGTACTTCGAACTTTTTAAAACTAAAGCTAACATTTGACAACATAAATCTCATAATGGTTATACGAATAATATTACTCAACGAACTCATCTACGGATCAATACAAAAATTCGGTCGCCACAAGAAAGTTGAACTGTCGAAAACTTCAGTTAAATGAGAACTGCGAAGTTTCGTGAGTTTATGTTAAATATTTATTGGTAGTAAACAAAAGTGGTAGAAAACTTATTATGAAAGCATTTGAAAGCTTTTCTGAGGATTTGGCCGCTTATATATCCAATACAGTAAATCCGACTGTCTTGGAAACATTATGTAGTTTTTCGTTGAAATGAGTTCTCATTAGTTCTCAGTTAAGGGAATCTACGTTAAACTATATCTATCGGTAGACCACTTCTGAATCTATATTTACATACCGTCGTACCTTTTCGAAGTGCATATTTCACATAAAATTGAGATCAAATCATAAATTAAGAAAAACAGTCGGCGACAGTCAATAAGCACGATCCTATTGTAAACAAAATCTCAGACAAGTCAAAAAATTATAAATATTCGGCAAAACTCGTTGAGGAAAAGATTTTCCTTGAGCTCATAAACGGTTCGAAAAACTTTGAAAGTCGCTAAACTGACTTTTCGCGAAAAAAAATTCTTGCGACTAAAAATAATATCCAAGTAACATACACTAAACTCACACTCACCCGCAAATTGGCTGCCAAAATGCTGCTGAAAGTGTCCGCGAAACTCATGCGGCGTGCTGAAGCCCGGCGGCAAAAAGCCACGCAAGTACGCCGCTGCTGCCAACGTCGTCATGTGATGATGATGTGCCGCATTCAGCTGCCCCGCATGGTCTGCATAACCGGCTGCTGCATAAAAGTTCGCTGGATTGAAAATAGGCAGTTGACAGTGCGCGGTAGCGGCAGCCGCAGCAGCCGCCGCGGACAGACGCGTCACATCGGGCGATATGGAACGGGAATCGCGTGTCGGGCGACCGTGCGAGGAGGCAGGTGAGAGTGGTGCATTATTGCATTCGGTGGCGGTGGGTGTAGCGGCGGGTGGTGGCGGTGTGCAGTTTGTTGTAGTGCTGCTATGCCGCTGCTGCTGTTGCGGTTGCTGAGTTTGTGAAGTAGGTGATTGTTGTTGTTGCAGTTGCAATGGTTGTTGCTGCTGCTGACTGTGCTGCAGCTGTTGTTGCTGCTGCTGCTGTTGACTAAGTTGCTGCGCCTGCTGATAGTTGGCGGCAGCAGCCGCAGCTGCCGAGCCTACACCCAAGCCGAGTATCTCCTGTATGGCGAAGGGGGTGCGCATTTTCGTTGCTTGCATTTTTGCCGACGGCAAATTTGTTGCGCGTGTTACTGTTTAAGCGTGTTGTTGGTTTTTGTGTTTTTTTAGCACTACGCGTTTGTTTACTATTTTATTGGAGTGTTCTATCTAAGTTGTGTTTTGGTATTTAGAATTCACTTCAGTTTTTTCTTGTCATATTTACTTAAGAGTTTTTTGTTTTTTAATTGCACTGGAGAACTGTTAACTAGGAGAGAAATATTTTTAAATTTTGCATACAAGTAAATATTTATTTAGAATTTAATTTGAAGTACATATTTATGGCATTTTTAAGAGTTATGTTTTGTGTTAATATTATTTTTTTTTTTTATTATTTATATTTTTAACTTTTCATACAAAATGCTTTATTATCAACAATTTTTTTTATTTTTATTTATTTTCTTATGCTTCATACAAATTTATTACTTTTTATTTGCTATTTTTTTAATTTTCGTTTGTCACTTTTGTAATAATTAAAAAAAATATTTTATTAATTAAAAACTATTTTAGTTTTTGATTAAAGATATTTATAATATTTAAATTTAAAATTTATTTATAAATATTTAATTATATGCAATTTTTTTAAAATTTTTAATAAATTTTGTTAAGTGAAATTTTATATTAATTTTTTCATTTCGAATTTTTCATTTGAAGATATTTATATATATATGAATGCAAGCAATTTATTTAAGTCTTTTTTCACGAATGTAAAAGTTTTAAAATTTTAAAATAACAAAATTGTTAATTAAATTTTGTTTTTAAGTGCAATATTTAATTTATATTTTCATTTCGTTTTTTTATATACAGAATTTTTGCATCGCCTAATTAGTGAAAATTGGTGAGTTTTGAAGTATAAATAAAAAAAATTAAAACTTAAATCATAGTTTTTAGTTTTTACTCTGATTTTATATATCAAATTTTGGCAAAAATCCTTAATAAAATTTTTTTTCTTAAAATATGCAAATATTTTAACTTATAAAAACAATTCAAAGAGGTTAACAACCTTTTTTTTTTATTTTGTATAAACAATTGATAAAATAAGTATAGCAATAATTTGCATAAAATTAAATTAATTTTCAATTTATTCTCTCATGTTTAAAAAAATACTATTTTTTGTGCAAGTGTCATCTGCATATAAATTTTTAATAGGCTCGAAAACTTTTAAACTTTGTTATCTCTCTATATGTTTGTTGAAAAGTTGAGTCAAATGTATGAAAATATAAATATAATGCAATAACTGAACTTTTTTTTTAACAAAAGAAAATATGTTTCGTTTTCTAGGCATTTCGAATTTTATTTATTTATTTATTCATGTTTCTTTGTTTATTTACATATTTTATTATTTTATCACTTTTTCGTTTTTATTTATGCTTTTAAATGTCTCCCATTATGTGCCTCATGTTATTAACGAGTTAAAGCAGCTTTCACGAACACCAGCACCTGTGCATTAGTTAATATGTGATTTTTAGTAAATACCCATTTTTAAAATATTTTTCAAGTAAATTTTCATATTTTTTGCGTTAAATGCTTGCACCCAGTGTTTGTAATTTTTTTTATTTATAATTGAGTGCTTACTTTTTAAAATTTTCTGGGTAAATATGTTTTTATAAATTTGTAGTTTGTAGTTTTTATTAATTTTGGTTAGAGATTTTTAATTTTTCTATTTACATGTTTGCTGTTATGTTATTTCTAGCTTCAATTTACACGCATTATATTTACATAAATGAGTAAAATTTATTTTTTTGTGCAAGCAATTTAATTAAAGCAATGGTGAAGTTTGAAAATTTTCATAAGATAAAATATATTGAACTCAATATATTTCCTTAATAGTTGCTCTCGTTATTCAGCTGTCTTCTTTGTTGATTTCACTTTCGAAATTTTCTTGAGCTCATCAATTTTGTTTTATTTTATTTATTTGTTAATAATTTTTTTTTAATTTTCAGTTATTTGCTATAATTTTTGATGTGTTTTGTTTATTAAGAGTAATTAAGGATAAGCTATTTTTTCATTTTATTTTGAATGTTTTTAGTTTATCAACATAATTTTTACGAAGCTTTTTATTAAAATCATTCCATTGAAAGTTATAATATTTTAAAAAAGACAAAGAATTTATTTAAAGTAATTTTAAATTTTTGTTCAAATTTTAGTTTGCTGGTTTTTAATGTAATACTATTATTATTTAATTTTTAATCGCAGTTTAGCATATTTTTTATTTATTTGTGCTTTGAAGCAGAAATTATTTAAGTTATAATTTGTAATTTTAACTCAATTAAATTTTTTCAATGTTTTTATTTTTAAATTTATTTATTTTATTTTTAACAATTAAATATATATTTTTATATTTATAGTATTTTTATTATTATACTATTTTTCTTTAATTTCTTAATACATAATTAAATTATTTATGTAAATATTATTATACTTTTTATAATTTTTTTGTGTGTTTTATTACGCCATTTTGCATAAAAAATTAATAAACAATAAAAATTAAAAATTTTTCACTTCACTTTTCATGCTCAAAATCTTTTACCTCATAACAGTGTTTATTAAAACAGTCACTTTTCGCAGCCGTTTCTTGGTTTTTCATTAAAATTTCGTCTTTTATTTCTTGCTTCGCTTTAATTACTAATTCACCTCTGTAATTGCCACTTTTTTGTTGCTGCGTCCCGCTAAGTGTACACATACATATGTATGTATTATATATATTTTTCGAACTGTAACTCGTCTCACTTGGTGCGCGTCACACGTGCGTTGTGGTTGGTGTCTTTTTCCAACTGCGACAGCGACGGCTGTTGGTTGCCTCAACGCCACACAGCACAACACGAATTCGAAACAACGCGCACAGCAAAGTACCAAACGGAACTGAGCGGAGGCTGACACCGTGTCTGCTGTTTGCCAGCAGCCAGCAGCAGTCACAACAGCAACATACACACTACAGCAAAAACAACACACACGCTCCGTCCACAAGAGTGAATAGGTTGCTCAGCAAGCAAGACTCGTCTGCGCCATCTTTGCTTGCTATAAAACGGTAAAGCGTGAGTGTGATAGCTTACGCTTTGCCTGCTGTTTCATTCTAACACAGTGTGCACACAGTTATTCCAATTTGAGGAGTAATATTTCCAATTAGCATTTCGCCTTACCAAATCCACAATTGGAAAATTCCATTTTGCTATTGCTATCGCACTCACACACACAAGCGGCGCTAGCAACGTGTTCATACACGCTTTGGAAGGTCACACCGTTACGTGTACACTATGCGTGTGCGTACAGTGGTGTACGTGTGGCTGTGTTTGTGCTTCAACTTTCAGGCTGATTTGATTTTGCCTTTTGTTTGCGTTTAATTACTGACCGAAAAGTCGCTGCCAGGACCCCGGCACCGCCGACGTCGCCACCACAGTCTCGCCTGTGTCGTGCAGCAATTTCTTATAAGCTTTACAAAGCAACAACAACGCATGTGATTTTTCGTAGAGTGGAAAATTAACTCATCGTCGTGGCAGCAGCAGCAGCAGCGAGGCGGCAAGTAGCCGTAGTGGCATAGCATTTGTGGTTCGCAGCAAGTGTAAATGTTTAGCAAGCTTCTATTGTATGTTGTTGTTGTTGTTGCGTAATTTCTCTTATATCTTTGCTATTAATAAAACACACTTAAATTCGTGTTAATGTGAATTTTCTATGCAGATGCTCATCGGTAGTTATGCATGTACCATGGATATGTATGTACATAAACGCATATGTATATATATATATTGCGTAGATTAGCTTAACAATATTAATATTAGTTTCATTCTAGATGGCTATTTGTAATATTAAGCAGAAAATATCAATTACAAAATATTTGTTGGAAGTTAAATTGCAATAAGCGATATTCAATTGGCTTAAAGGCTTAATTGATAATGATTAATTTTACAAAATTATTATAATTATTTTTAATGTGAAACTTAGACTTTTTAAATTGCGTTATTTTGTGTTGAATGTATTAGTAATTTTGAACATTTTCATGGTTTTATTTTCTCTAAATAAATAATTTTTGAATTATATTTTTTAAATAAAAATAAAACAAATTTATGCTAGAAAATATATAATTGTTTTATACTGTGAAAATTTACTTTTGCATGTTATTTCCACTAACAGAATTTTTGATTGGAATTTTAAAATGTTTCAAAACATTTTTTAAATAAAAATCTGAAAATATGCTTAAAATTATACAATTTTCTCGATTGGATTGCCACAAAAATAAGTTTTGTTTTTACTATAGATTTTGCTAAGAAACTTCTATTAAAAATATGAAAGGTTTAATTTTATAAAATTACCTTCAATTGGTTGCACCAATAATAATTAAATATTTCGTATTTTTTATCGATTTTTGTTCGGGAGCTCTATTGTAACAATTTTCGACGACAGTTTTTCAACATTTTTTGGTTTTTTTAATTTTAAAATTTGTTAGGGAATTTAAAAAATACATTTAATTTTTTTTGCTTTTATAATTCTATTTGTCTTTTATATGCAGTTTTTTTTTGTTCGAAATTTCCATTAAAACCATAATCGATGTACATTTTAAAATTTTTCAACGTTTTTTATAACAAATTAAAAATATGCTAGGAAATATAAAAAATTTAAAAATTTGACTGCGCCTTTAATCATTTTGTTTTTTATTTTGGACTTTTTTACAATGTTCGTATCAAAACAAATTTCGACGGAATTTTAGAAAAATGTTCAAAAGTGCATTTATTAAAATTTAATAATATGAAACTAAATTATTTCTAAAATATATATAGCGCTAATATGGTACTTTAGATGTAATTCTTTTTAAAAAGAATTTTGTGCAAAATTTTCGTTAAAATTTTTATGCATAAATTTTACAGTTTGTAATGAAATAAATTTTATATGCTAATTTAATTATCTGTTTTCTTTAAAATTTTTTTTTTATTTTAAAATATACATATTATACGTATTTTTTAATAGTAAATAGTATGTACGTATACATATATTTTTTAATAGTAAAAACTTATTTTTTTTTCTGTGTACTATATTTTTATAATTTAAAATTTTTATATGAAACTGAAAACTAATTATTTAATTGAGTTTTCATTTTAAAATAACTTTTATTATTGCGAAAAAAATTTTATTTATATAATTCAAAATTTGTTTAGCCAGTGCAAATACATTTTTTTCTTTGTAACTTTGCTTTCATTATTCATAATTTTACCTAAAAATGCAAATAAATAAAATAAATAAATTAAAAAAATTTTTTTTTAATAAAAATAAATCGATTATTTTTTAGATCATTTTCTGTATGTATGTTCTTTTAATTAATTAATTCTTTAAATAATATATATTATATAAAATGGCAAAAATAAATCTAAAAAAATACAAAGTACAATATATACATATGTATGTATATAATTGATCAGCGTGGCGAGCTGAGTCGATTTAGCCTTGTCCGTTTGTCTGTCCGTCTGTATATATGCGCACTAGTCCCTCAGTTTTTGAGATATCGGCTAGAAACTTTGCACACGCCCTTTTCTCACCAAGGTGCTGCTTTGTAGGAACCACCGATATCGGACCACTATAGCATATAGCTGCCATATAAACTGACCGCTTTACATTAAGATAAAGATTTTTTATACTCTTTTATGCTATAAAACATGCAGCTGTGAAGGGTATTATAGCAGCAGAAGTTAACGTTTTCTTTTGTTTTTGTTATGAATAATATAAGATTTGCTTTAAGTTATTCACTTCTGTATTTATAATTATTGTATAATTTTGTAAACCGGAATATATTGTAAGCTACATATTACAGCTTCGTAATGGCGCTAATTAGAGTTAAAAAGTTATAAAATACATTATGTTTAGTTTTCCACTTATTACAAAAATAACGAACTTTATATATTATTATATTTTTCTTATATAGTATTATATAATAATTTGTGTTCATTTGCCAATGCTTTTAATATTAATAGAATGCAAATGCTTTTTTTTTACAAATATTATTTTTGCCATTTTCAGCAAAATGATTTTAAATAAAATATATACTCAAAAGTCCTCACAATCATAAGTACCGCTTTGTGAGATATTTCCATACTATTCAAATAAGTTTTTATATAAAATTAATGCATTTATATGTTCATAGAGAGAATCAAACAAGCAGCAGGCATACAGAAATACACACATCTATGCACATACGCGTAAACAAGACCACCTCACACTCAACTATATTATATATATACATATGCATTTATATATATGTGCATGTATATAGAATATTATTATATATACATATGTATGTATGTGCGTGCCAAATTCCTTTTATACCTCCATCTAAAGGCACTTACTTAAGTTCTCATCTTTATACAGATTCAGGTAGATAGAAAAATCCTTTTTACGTTTTTGCACTTCATTTTTGTTCACGCGTTTGCCTTTGCTTCTGCATCCATATTTGTTTTAATAACTCATGATAATGTTTTCCACTTAAGCAATGCTGTTTTCAGTTGTTGTAGTGCTTTGTTTTTATAATTTCTTGCTTTGCATGAAAGCGGAAAAAATACTAAAATGGATTATTTCGAGTAAACTGAAGAGTATGCTTGTATATTTAACCATATATGCATAAATACATATGTATGTACATATAATATGTATTTGTAGATATGTATATGTGGCGCTTAAGTTTCAATAAGAGGAGCGCAAATATTTTGGTATGCAGAAAATATGTAAGAATTATTAAAATAATTATACACAAATATACCAACCAATAATAACAATAGTTACTGGTTGATTTTTTTTAGATTTATCATATATTAGATAATTTTTACTTACTTTCTAAAAGTAATAATAAAATATTTAATGTTGTTGGTAAAAATATTATGGCGAAATGCTTATGATTGAAAGAATTATGCAAATAATTATATAATAATTATACAAATAATAGTAATAGATTATTGATGAAAAATTTTTTGTATATATTTAATTTTAAACTTCAAAAATAGTACTAAAAAATGTATAATTCTAAATAAAAGTGCAAAAAAATTTGCATATTTTCTTAAATGTATATTGGAGAAATGTTTACAAAAATTTTTTTTAAAATGAATAATTGAGTAAAATTTTTGAGTATTTCTTAAAATAAAAGCATTTTTTTTCAAAACAAAAATTATGCAGTTTTTTATAAAAAATAATTCGAAATATTTTTACATATGTGCATATTTTCTTAATTTTCTATTGCAGAAATGCTTACAAATATATTTTTTAATTAATAAGTGAGTAAAAATTTAGAGCTTTCTTTAAAAAAAGTATATTTTAAAATAAATAAAAATTTTAAATTTTTTTCTAAAAAAAGTATATTTTTCATAAAAATAAATTTGTATATTTTTTCATAGAAATAATTCGCAATAATTTTATATTTTTGGAAAATATTCTATTTGAAAATAAAAAATTTAAAATAGAATTAATTATAAAATTTTAATTTTATTCTTTCATAAGAAATAAATCGCAATATTTTTGCAGTTTTGTTGAATTTTCTATTAAAAAAAAAGAAATTTTTCCTTTTTAATTTTTTTATAGAGTATTATTTTATTTATTATTCTTATATGTGGATATTTTTTAATTTATAACACGAAGTTCGAATTTCAGTTAATTTTTTAAATCAATAATAATTTTTTCTCAATAATATCTCAGCTAAAAAATTAGAAAATATTTCCTAATTTTTTTAAAATTGAAAATTCAGATTCTCTTTAAAAAAAAAAAATTGTAAATAAATAAAATGAAAAGTTTTAAAGAAAGAAACGATTCATTCGAAGTTTAAAAATTCTATTTTTTATTGAGAATTTATTATTTTTAAACATCCGTTAACAGAAAAACAACAATTTTGTAAAAAACTTTTAGGAATTAAAGTGGCCGTTACAAATATTTTTACCATATATAATTTGTATATAAAAGTTT